TATCCGAAATTTACATAATTGTTTTAACAATGATATAAACACTTTAAAGTGTGTGATGTTTGGATCTTTTTCTCATTAAAGAAGCTTAGAAAACAACTTTTATCAAGCGCTTTTATACAGTTTTTTGTTATAAAAATGTATTTTTTATTTATTTTTAATTAGAGTACTAATTATTAACGCATTATAGAAGCCGTTGCTAAGCATATCTATGTCGTTGCTAGGGTATTTTGTTGGTTAAGAATGTGGCAAAATTAGACTATTTCTAGGACTTCTCTAGGCTTTTTATCGCTTAAGCACATGAATTTTTTTTCAGATATTGGAAGATGCATGTATAAGGAAACGAAATAACTTATATATTTCATGGCAGACCTAAGGCCACGATTGTTATTTGTAATCTAACAAAGCGTATTAACCGCGAAAATTCATTTTTGGAAGCTTACTCTTTCCCAGGCTCTTGCATACTCATAATTTTTTTTCTATAAATTCAATGTATACCTTATTGACTTTCAAAAGCAGTTAAGTAAATTATGTGCAAGTAATGGCCTTAGGAGATATAAATGGTCAAAGTACGGGTAAAATTTCAAATTTAGAGGTTTTGAACCGTGATTTTTAGTCAATAAAAAATGTAAACATTTTGAATTTTTATTTTAACCAGAGAAATCCACTCACAGTAGTAGAAATAAGAAAAATAAATGAGTTTCTCAAATTCATATTGCTAAAATTGCCCCTAAAAGTAGTAATTCCGTTCCATGCACCAATATTTTTACAAAATGGGCCAAATTTCAGCCCCCGATATCTCCGCAAATAATGGGAGTTTTCGAAAAAAAATTTAACTGTGGCCTAATTTCATTGTTTTCTATAAGATATCTGAAAATGAAGAGATTTTGAAGACATCACTTTCAGACTTTGCGATTTTGCCTATATTTCTCAGATAATGGCTCTTAAAGAAAACTTTGCTCAATACTACTGATGCGTCCGAATGTACACAGTGTTTCAATTATTGCTTTGCTTGAGTTTTATAGTTTTAAACAAGCAAAATGGCGTGTGTATACACAGGGGGTATACACAGGGTTTGAAAAGTATACCAAGACTAAATAGCCTAATTTATATTATTTATCACATGGGCGGATAAAAAAATATTTTCAGCAGCAGCAAAGTATCTTTGAATAACTGAATCTGTTATATTTTTAAGATCAGTAGTAACCTAGCAACAGTAAGAATAAACTTCTAGAGATGTTTAGATCTATTGAACCATGAGTCTATTGAACTTTGTTACACGAACCGTTTCAAAGCTTGAATGAAACATCTCTAGAAATTTTTTTCTTACTCTCGCTAGCTAACTACTGATCTTGAAAATAGATTTAGTTATTTAAAGATACTTTTGATGCTGAGCATGAAACTTGTTAAAAGCCACATGTTCGAATGGATATAAACAATGAAATCATACCATTATTGACTTCATTATTTAAACATCCAAATAAAGTAAAATTCACAAGTTGTTTGCTATGTTTATTATTTCATAAAATAATCAATTATGCTGTCTGCAATATTTTTTCCAGTACCAGATATTGATGTCAGGCCCTAAAAATATTGAGTCTGGTTCTTCTATCATTAAAGTGTGCAAGAATTGGTTCCTATTTTTCCTTGAATAACAGTCTTGTCATTTCTTTCATCCAAAAACAATTCTATACTTATGGTTATCAAACCCTTACTGTCTTGAATTTTTTCTGGCACTTTAATTTTTCTCGTCAATTTTTATTTTAGTTTTGTCATAATTATTTATCCAACCTAAGTTCTGCAAAGCAGAGCCTGCTATTGCTGCAGCAGCTCTATCAGATGATCCTGTGCAATCATATATAAAGACAACAGATGATATTTTAATCCACATTTGAGTACTTTTATGATTTTGATGATTTTTTTGTAATTCTGAAAGACCTGAAAATTCCTTTTCTTGTTCTGTATGTATGTATGTATGTATGTATGTATGTATGTATGTATGTATGTATGTATGTATGTATGTATGTATGTATGTATGTATGTATGTATGTATGTATGTATGTATGTATGTATGTATTTATGTATGTATGTATGTATGTATGTATGTATGTATGTATGTATGTATGTATGTATGTATGTATGTATGTATGTATGTATGTATGTATGTATGTATGTATGTATGTATGTATGCATGCATGTATATATATGCATGTATGTAAGTATGTATATATATATATACATGGTGATTCAAACTCTATATAATTTAATAATAATTCGGACACCTAACTCATATGTGTATATCTTAACATTTAATATATTAATATTTAATAAATTGACCCATCTATTAAAGTTTTACCTGATGTTTAAATATGGCAGCATTATTTTTTATGATTTGTAGAGGTAGAGAATAGAATTAGGAGTAAGAAAATGACTTTAATAAAAATAAAAATAAAGAAAATGACTTTAAGAAAGAAACAATTTGATAAACGGCGCTAAAAAGTCTTTAGAGCCTAACTTCTGAGATAAGATGCAAAATTTAGTGAACTAAGAATTTAGTGAACTAAGAATAATGCATCAGACAACATCTTTTTGATTTCTTGCAATAATAAATAGCCATTAGTTCTCAAGAGAGTTATTATTTAAATAAAGATGAAAAAAAAAGATTACGATTAGATATAGCAGTTGCACAAGAAGTTGAATACCATAAAGAAGAATGAGGCTTGACTTGAAACTAATAAGAAGGAATAAAAGCTTCCATTCCTGCCTGAATCCAGGAGGTTACATAGGAGGCAGATTTTTTAGCTGAGAGAGAAAAGAAATCAGCCCAAAGCCCTTCACAAAGAAAATCACAAAATGTCTCCCATTCAGCTTTAGGGTAGTAGTGAGTAGTGCAACGATAGGAAGAGTTGAAAAATGAAGTACAAGATGAAAGATTTAAAGTGATCATTGCATGGTCAGAACCTCTTAAAGAAGAAAAGTGAAAAATTTAATAAAAGCTAGCAGAGACAAGACACAAATAAATGAGTGAAGGTAAGTGTAAAAGGGTTGTCTGAAAAATGGGTCACAATGTTAACTATCTGAGTATGAGATTGCGGAATGCAGAAATTGAGGGCTTTAGTGCCAGCAGGGTCAGTGGTGTTAGAGTCAAACCATTAAGTGTGATGAGCATTAAAATCTTCAATAACTACAATATTGGGATCAAGGTAAAGAGAAAGTTCAATTTGATCAGAAAATGCAATAGAAAGCAAAAGAAATAAAAATTTTCTAAAAGAAAGCAGTTTTGAGAAGAAGGAGAACAAAAAATAACAAAGAGAAAGGAGAGTCAAGAGGTGCTAAGTGGGAGCACATGAAAGAATGGTGAAAGAATTCAAAACTGATTTCACAACAAATAGGTGAATTAATGCATATATATATATACCTCTAAGCTAATCAAGTGACTATTGGAACTTTGCGAATCAAAGGTTAGTACCCATAAATACTGAGATCTAAAGAAGGAATAGCAGAGCTTAAATTAGTCCACTAAGAGCAAGCAAGTCTAGAGAAATTTGTAAAATGTAAGATTCAACTGCTGGAAGGTTGCTTTGCAGACCACTAATATTAGTAAAAGATATATTAAAAGAGTTAGGTGGTGGGAATGGTTTTTTATGTTTAATATTTTGGGTTAAAGAGAACTTGACTTATTCATAAATAGTAAGATTTACATCTACGTCAGGCCAATAGATAAAGACTGGTTTGAGGCTGGTTAGCAGAATTACTTTTACTTTAGCAGAATTACCCTGCTTACCCCTAAAGTCTTTGCCTAGGAGGGCTCCTGCAAGACAGTAGCTTGATGCAGTTAATATCTGCCCAAGATATGTATTTTTATCGATACACCCTCTAGCCTTTACTCAACCAAGAGCCCCAAGGCAGGAAATTTTGTAACTAGTTAGTTAATGAGCTCACAGATTTAAACATTTAAACAGAACATTTAAAAATTTAAACAGAACATAAACATAAATAAAGTAACTTTTTGGTGAGTAAACACAGTGTCATAGATTCAGATAGAACACACTCATACATATAAACATAAACAAACAGAACACAAACATACATAATTATTAAATTCTTGCAAGTAGGTGTTTTGTCTGAAACTCTGGTGCAGTGTTCACTACCCCATAAATTACTTTTATTTGTGTTTCAACTTCTGTTTGAGCTCTGGCGCCGTCTTCATTTGCCTGTAAGTTACATTATGTATGTAACTTACAGGCAAATGAACACCATGTCAGAGGTTCAAACAGAGGTTGAAACACAAATAAAGTATTTTATGGGGTGGTGAACACTGCTTCAGAGTTTCAGATAAAACACTAACTTACAAGAATTTAATAACTTACATAGAACCTTTGCTTAGAAAGCGAATCCCACAAGGCAGCGGGACATGGACAAGTTGCACTAGGTTAATGTTACCAGTAGCAAGGTGGCCATAATGACCATACACTTGAACTGACTAAAAAATGTAACTCTTGCTTGGCCTAGTTATGAAGTGTGACTCTTGCTTAGAATGTGAGCTCGATGAACTGCGCCACTACAGTATTTTTTATTTAATTTAATATTTTAAATTAAATATTTACTTCTCAGCTTATATCAAATTGTCCCAAACAAAAATTTCTGTGAGAACTGACAACAAAAACTAACTTGTATATTGGGAGGGCAAAATGCAATATTTTGTATGTAACTGTTGTACTGAACAGTATAAAGTGATTCAAATTTGTTGAACATACGGAATGTTGTTACTATTTTTTGATTATTGAGACGCTCCGGGAAGATGTTGCAGTCTTATCACAAAGCCCTATGATAGGGTATTTAACAAGGGAGTTTATGCTTCCTTCCTTACCAATTAATCTGGCCTTATCTGGCCAGAAACAGCATTGAACCTAGTACCTTTTGGTTCTGAGCTACATCTCTTATTATATTTTTTATAATAAACAAGCTTTTATTATATATATAAAAATTTAAATTTTACTTACTCTATAGAATGCAGATCAATGTTAAAACTCACATTTTTATTGTATTTAACATAGATATTTGTTATCTAAAAATATAAACAATATTAAAACACTTTATTTAACTTTTAAATTTTTAGCAATTCTATAAATACTTTTTTGAATTTTTTATGATTCTTTATTGAAATACTTAAAAAATAATTTACTAAAACTAATTGTATAATCAAAAAGAGCTGACATAAATTACAATATTAAAATAAATTACAAGATTTGTCTAAATAGTTGTGGATAATTCTGGTGTTTACAAAATGGAAAAATAGCAGTACTTTGATGTTATCTTTTTTTTTTAATTTAATTTTTTGTAATTTAACTAAGGTTACTTAAAAAAGTTTATAATTGATTAACTTGAATATATTAGCTATTTAAATAGCTTAATAATAATAACTTTTACTCACTTTAAAATAATACGAAAACTAAGTACTGGGTTTTACTAAAAGTATAGAGCTGTTTCACTATTATACAAAAGTATAGAGTTGCTATGTTATTATATAACAAAGACATTTAATAAAACAACATGAACTTTTAATTTTCATATAAGTTTCTACAACAAAGTTTATTCTTTACACCTAAAATTGTAAATTCTCTTAAATACTTAAAAAAAATATTTTTACACCTAAAAGAAGCAAAGAGTATGATATTGACATGTAAATACAAGAAAAAACACAGGTATACTAAGTTTTGTTTTTCTATTTTTCTCTTATTTCATTATATTTTATTTATATTTATCTTATCTATGTTATATGAATAATTTATAATTTATAATATTTTATAACTGTATACTACAGCTGTTTTTCAAAATGCCTTAAGATGTTTTTTACATCATTTGGGAAAAATAAGACTTTTTGTAAATTGTTTTTTTAAACTATTAATTTTTATAAATGTTTTCATATTTCTTTAAAAATATTTACAAGGCATCTAAATTAGCTTATTTTGTAAAGAAGTCAACTATAACTTTTTTATCTTAAGTATTTTGAAAAACGGCTTTAGTATAGTACTACCAAGTTATATCTTGATAACACTGTTACAACACTGTTGTATCCCTCGATAATTTTAAGAGAAGTCTCAAAATGAGAATGCTTGTATTGAATTTCAGAATATAAATTCCTATAAGATTTCAAATTAAAAAGAATAATAATATCTTTTGCTTTTCTATGAACACTGTTACAAACAAACACTGTTGGCATGGCAACAAATGGTATTTAACACTTATTAGTATTATAAATAAGTAAAGAATTTTACTTATTCATAATAATAAACCAATTGGAATTGATCATTTATGGAATTGCAGTTTTTTTATTTGTCTTAGATTTAATAATTTAAATAAATTTCTTACCGCATTTTCAATTTTAAATTTAAGTGCCGTTGGTTGTTTATAAGAATCAATATATTTCTCATCCAAAAAATGTATTCTTAAGTTAACAGCTACTCCTACAACAAATGTGAAAATAAAAATTAAAATAGTTTGAAATTTTTACATAAAAAGTAGTGGATATACAAGAAAATGAATTTAGTAGACTAAAGAACTTAATAGAGTTTTATATAGAGTTTCTGAAACCAAAAAAGCGAATCCGAAAATCTGTTGTTTTCTTCTCATGTATTTGAATCTGTTAAAAATCTATTAAAAAATGCAAGTGTATTAAATGTATCCGTAAACTAATTTTTTAAAATTTGAAATCTCTTGAGCATATAAAATTTAAATTTCTAATCAAATATTTGTTAAACGTAAAGGATATTGCAGTTTCACATTAAAAACTTCTTGTGAGTAAACGCTAATATCTTTTAGTGATATTAAACATAATTTATATACAAACTATATTCCCTAGATATTTACAATTATGCCTCTATATATATACAATTATGTATTAAGTAATTACAGTGTGGGACAAAAAAATTGTGATTTTTTTTTTTGCGCTTGAAAAATGCTATAATTTATATATGTACAAGTTTGTATGAATCATCAGTCTTAATAAGAATATTTTCTATTTTAAATTTTCATTTGTTTTAATAAAAGCAAAAATTTTGAGAAATGTACATAATCTGTGTACATTTATATACATAAAATGTATATAAATGGACATATATTAAGGTTTCATTTTCCCCCAACTAACTATTAAAAAAATATTTTTATAGATTAAAGCTGGTCAAATTCCGATTGCTGCCGAAGCTGCACCAATGGCACCTGAAGTTTTTGTTGTAAAGGAGAAAAGAAGACATGTTTTAATTTCTGCTGAGAGAAATGCATTTTTATGTGGCTTTAAATCAGGTGGAATGTTGCTTATTGAACTTGCATAGAATCAACATGTGCCAATTTCTTCTCTTGATGCTACTTGGAACTGATACTGATAGTACAGAGAGAAATAAAAGCTCTGGTTGAAAGCGAAAGACTGATGCACATGATGATTGACATATTATCAATAAAGTCCGAAAAGATCGGTTTGTAACTGGGTCAGAAATTATAGCTTCATTAAACTTAACTACTCCTTTGTCAATTAAAATTGTTTGTTAATGTATTACTGAGTCTGGAGAGTTCAAGTCATATTTTGCATGCAAGAAGTCATTCATCAGTGAAACGAACAAGGGTAAGAGAGTAAAATGGGAAAAAGATCATTTTCATTGGACTGTTGATCAATGGAGTCAGGTAATTTTTTCTGATGAGCCATCATATGTTTTACTCTTCACGTGGAAAAGACATGTATGGCGCAGGCAAAATGAACCTTATTCAAAGGAGTGTACTATTGTAAATGTCAAACACAATGTCAAATTAATATGCTGCTCACAGTGTAGGTGTATTATATCAAGTAAAAGGTATTATGGAGCAGAAGCAGTATCACAAGATCCTTTAGTGTCAATTCAAGCCAAGTGTGACCAGAATGATTTTATATTTTAGCAAGATAATGATCCTAAACATACTGCAATAATTAAAAAAGGATATGTTATCAACCAGAACTGGGATTCAATTGGCCATCTCAGAGTCCCAATCTAAATCCTATTGAGAATATTTAGAGCATTCTCAACCAACATTTAAAGTTTTCTAGATGTAACACCCTTGATGATTTGATGGCTACTTTAAAAGAAAGGCGGAAGGCTCTCAAACCAGAACTTTTAGCATGTTTAATTGATAGTATGCTTCGAAGATGTGCGACAGTTATCAAGAGTAAAGGATATATGACCAAGTATTAATTTACTGTTTTAGAAACTTGTATTTATATTCTTATTTGTAACAAAGGCTTGTAAATAGACTATTTACAAGCTTTTGTTACAAATACTTGTTGTTGTAGTTGTTATAAATGATATGTCTTTATGTTATTGTTTCTGTTGTAGTTGTTACATATATATGTATATTATGTTTTTATATTATTGTTTCGATATTGTCTTTGTGTTATTACAAGTTTCTAAGTTTGTCTGTTTATTATTTATTTTCACCATTCCCTAAGCATTCTCAATAGTATTAGCAACAGAATGCCACGTTAATGGGGCAACTGGGACAGCAACTGTATTCTTAAACTTGTCATTTGAAAAATCTCAAGGCGACATCCAAAAATTTTTTTTTTAATATTTTTTTATTAAATAGCAAAAGATAAAACCTTAATACATGTGATCAATTCCTATCTTTGTATATGCTTGGAAATGAAGAACTCACAGGTAAATAAGCAAAAAGGTATTTATTTACAGTCACAGATTATGTACATTTAAGATTTTTGCTTTCATTAAAACAAACGAAAATTTAAAATAAGAAATATTCTTATGAAGACAGATGATTCATACAAACTTGTAGATGTATAAATTATAGCATTTTTCAAAGGAATTTGAATTTGCTATCAACTAATTCCAAATCATCAATTTGAATTCATTAGTCAAATAAAAAGCACAAAAAAAAAAAAAAAAAAAAAAAAAACTTGTTATAAGAATGTCTTAACTACTCATAATGACTTTCAACAAATTTATTCTACTTATGACTACTTATGAAGTGAATTGTTTGTTGAAGTGAATTGTTTGTTGAAGTGAATTGTATATTGAAGTGAATTGTTTGTTGAAGTGAATTGTATATTGAAGTGAATTGTTTGTTGAAGTGAATTGTATATTGAAGTGAATTGTTTGTTGAAGTGAATTGTATATTGAAGTGAATTGTTTGTTGAAGAGAATTGTTTGTTGAAGTGAATTGCTTGTTGAAGTGAATTGTTAGTTGAAGTGAATTGTTTGTTGAAGTGAATTGTTTGTTGAAGTGAATTGTTTGTTGAAGAGAATTGTTAGTTGAAGTGAATTGCTAGTTGAAGTGAATTGTTAGTTGAAGTGAATTGTGTTCAATAGTTTGTTTAAATAAACCTTTAAAATTTGTTTTTACCAACAAAACAGGCAAATAATTCTTTCAGTTAGTTTTAATTTCAAAATTAAAGTCTCTTCTAGACAAGTTCCAAAAAAACATCAAAAATTATGGGAACATTTAAACCAAATTTCTAATGGAAAAGCAGAATGTAAAATATGTAAAACAAAAATTTTGAACAGCAATGGCTCTACTAGTGCAACGATAAACATAAAAACCATTAATGGTATTATGCTAAGTAAGTCAAGTCATGAAGATGGTGGTAATGGTGAGACAGTGATGAAAAAAAAAATTTGATCATGATACATTGTGACCAAACTAGCTGTTTTCGATGAAATTTTATTAAAAGCAATGGGACATACTCATAAAAGTTATGAAGAAATAACTAAGGCTCAACTATACGCTCAACTAAGTACAATATTATTTGAAAAGCTGAAGAGGAATAGATTCAATATTATACTAGATTAAGTATTCAAATGAAATGCAAATAGTATGCGTTAAAATATGTGATCAATGGAGCACATATTTTAATGCATACTATTTGCATTTAGAGCGCTTGTCTCATAGAGCGCTTGTCTCATAAGCAAGAAGTTCTGAGTTTGATCTTATCCACACCCCTGGAAGTACTTGGCTCAACTTTTTTTCTGCCCAGATGCCTTTCTCTTCAAGGTTCCTGTTTTAGAGTTATAGAGTTAAGAGAGGGTAGTAACCACAATTAAGCTAGCATCCTCGACTGTAGTGACATTTATGGCCTTGGGGAGATGAATTAACATAGAAAATGAAGAAAAAAGAAGGACATCCTTTAGAGCTCAATCTAGACATAAAAATTAGATAGAACTTGTTTATTGATTTAGTTGAGTGCTTTATAAATGTTTGAGAATATATTACTAAATCTCTTCTTGAGTTAAATAAAACGGATATGCTGGCAGAAGTAAATATCAACCTTTTATGTGATTTGATTAATGTTTTCAAACCAATAAAATTAGCCATAGAATCTTCCGGCAGACAAAATGCCTCTCTGTCATCAGCAGATGCAATAATGGAGTTTATGACTCTCTGTCATCAGCAGATGCAATAGTGGAGTTTATGATGAATAAACTTTGTAATGCTGACAGTGAAACAAAATTTTTATTATGATAAAAACAAAAAATAATGTTTTAATTTCATATTTATAAATTTTTATGCGATTTTAGATAAAAGGATTTTAAAAATACATTTGCATTTAAAGATTTATCAGATAACTATTATCTGATTTTGGTGCAGAAATTGAACTTGAAGTGAAGTGCTGATATTGAAAGTACTAGCTCAGAATTGGTTCATGTTGGCTTGATTGAACAAACAGCATTAAATAGTTTTTCCAAATTTTTGGTTTGTTTTTCAGTATCACAAAAAAACTTAAACTCTTGTTTTACATTCCTTAATATGGTTTCATATTCTGGTTTTATATTCCTAATATTGGTTATTCCTGATTTGTTATTCTCTTGATGAGAATCACAAATCAGGAACCAATTCTATATTAAGAACATAAATCAAGAATTTAAATCATTTCAAAAGCTGAGTTTTGTATAACTTTTTCCAGTTCTTTTTCCATAGTCATTTCTTTTTCTTCTTTTTCTTTTTTCCATTATTTTCTGTTTCATTAAAATTATTGGAAAAAATTCTTTGTATTAATTTGTTTGCGAAATGTAATTCATGTTTTGATGGAATATACAATGCATCATTCAATTATTTCAGAAGATTCAATTAATTTTTATTTGTGCATTCAGTTCTTCATTTCAAGTTTTCCATTGTTTTACTTATTGACCTAATATTTGGCAGATTTTACCGAATTCACCAGATATCAAAATACCCATGGCTTCCACAAAAACATTTGCAAAACTTCAAAAATTTTTGAAAAAATTGAAATTTTTTGAAAAAACTTATATTTGTATTTATTAATCAACTACTGTATATTAATCGCTAACTTGAAAAATGGGGACATGTCCTGCAAATTCACATAGCATGTTCCCTTTTTCAAGTTAGCGATTCATGTAATACAAGGTAATTTATTATAAAGTTACATTTTTGAAAAGAAAAAAGTTTATCATGGAATATTTACTTCAAGAATATCTTTGAAGATTTTCATTTGCTCCAATAAGTTCCGGAGCTCAATTGCATAACTTAACCTTTGAAGATTTTTTTTAGGAATTATATTATTTAACAAAATAATTTTTACTTTTTATTGTTTTGCATTAAGTTTTCTAGATTTAGTTCATTTTGAATGCATAAACCTAACATCATCTAGAAAAGGGTGCTTAGCAGCTTGGTTGTTAAGCAATACCAAAGGTTGTTTTATTGCTCAATATGTGAATAAAAAAGTTTAACTTGTTTTGCTGTGCGATTATTGATACATCTTGGATGTAAAACAAAGAATGAATATAATTTTTGCTGTGTTTGGAAACATTGAAGAGTGACTTATGTGCATTCCTTCCTATTATATCAAGTTTTTGCATTAATATGTCTTTATAATCGTAAAGTTCAAGACCATATGTAAGTACCAGAACCACTAATGTTTTATATAGCTGGACAATAGAGCTTGGATGAGCAAAGCGGATTCCAGACTGAAAAAGAGTTTGGATTATTGCCCTGAATTTTGATATTCTATATTATTTATATAGAATATATATATATTTGAACAATTAAGTGAGGCAAAAGAAGAGCTTTTAGTATCCCATATAAAAACTAAATGATTAAATTTGTCATCCAGTTTTATTTGTTGGTGGTTGACTGTTAACATGCAGTTTGCAATTTGCTTTTTTCCGGTGAACAAGAACTCGGTCTTATTAGCATTCAACTTTATACAATTTGCGTTAGTGTATATATTATATGCTGCTGTAAGCTTTAGAATTCCAGACAGGGTAGAAGTATGATGTTGAACAGGGTAGAACTAAGAAGTATGATGCTACAACAACTGTATAATTCCCATAAGTTTTTACGAGTTTTTTCGCAAATTTCTTATATTCTGTGGTATTTTTTATTTTGTGAGTCGAAATTAAGTTGAACTAAACCAAATGCCGAAAGGAAAGGTCCTTACCGATATTGAAAAAGGTCAAATATTGGCTTTTCATCGAGAAAAAGTTCCAAATCGAAAAATTGCTAGAAGATTGAAGAGATCAGATCACGTTATCCGTAATTTCTTGAAAAATCCAGCAGATTATGCAACAATCAAGAGGAAACCAAAGAAATCTAAGGTTTCAAGTCGTGAAAAACGCAGAATTGTTCAACTCGCATCAAATTCATCAAAAAGTTTGCAAACAATTAAGTCAGATTTGGGTTTAAATGTTTGCAAGGAGACGATTAGGAAAGTTCTTAAAGACAACCCACACATTGTATGATCAAAAATGAAAGCCCGCTCACAAACAAAAATGAAACCCCAAAAATGAAAGCCCGCTCACAATCAAAAATGAAAGCCCGCTCACAAACAGAAACAGATGGAATTCGCCCGCGAAAACATGGCATGTGATTGGGAACAAGTAAGAAATTTTAGATTAAATTCTAATGAATACGTAAGATGTCTAAATAGCTGAATATTTTTGTTTTCGATACCAGGTGATTTTTTCGGACGAGAAAATGTTTAATCTTGATGGGCCTGATGGTTTTAGTGGCTACTGGCGTGATTTGAGGAGAGAACCCAAATATTTTTCAACAAAGAATTTCGGTGGTGGATCTTTGATGGTTTGGCTTGGGTTTTGTGCAACAGGAAAGTTAAATTTAGCATTTACATCTTGCAAAATGAAAAGTTCTGAATACATTGATGTGCTAAAATCATGTCAATCATGTTTGATTCCATTTAAAAACAAATATCGACGCAAAAAGTTTGTTTTCCAACAAGACAACGCCAGCATTCACACTTGTAACGAGACTAAAGCTTGGTTTGAAGCAATATAACTCTGTGGCAGAGCTAAAAGTAGCGGTATCAGAATGCTGGGAGGATATGGAGCCAAAAGTGCTTGAAAACTTGGTGGGAAGTATGCCAAAACGAATTTATCAAGTAATTGAGCGCAAAGGAAGTCCAATCGAGTACTAAAAATGCGATAAAAACATTTTTTTTGATAGTTTAGTTAAAAAATGTGAACTGCGTCTATAGAAAATAGTCAGCTATCTTTTGAATTTAATTCATTTATGATTGACCTCTTTTCAAATTTGATATTATTTTTTGATAATTTTCATTATTTTTTGATACTTTATTTATAATTTATTGAAATACACTATAAAAATAAAGTTAAGTACGTTTTTAAGACATAATCCACATGCGCCTATAGAAAATGGTCGCAGTGTATTATACAGGTGAGGAGACAGAATCAATCCTTGTCTCACTCCTTGTGTTAGATAAAATGGATATGATTTGCATCCTAGATTAGTGACAGCACTGCTTTCATGGTACAATGACTATATAGTATTAATAATATAAAGTGATAATTTTTTATTGTTGTATAGTTTCTCAAATAGAATGTCCCAGCTACAGGTGTGAAATTCTTTTTCAGCATCTAGGGAACAGAGATAGACAGGTGAGTTATTGTTGTTGTAATGTTTTATAAAAAAATCAGCATGTAAGGTTGAGCTGTTTTTTGTAAAACCGAATTGAAGAGAATGAGTTTCTTTTATTTCTGGACAGATTATTAAATAAGATATTCTATTAGTTTTGTAAAGATTGTAATGATGCTAATACCACGGTAGTTATTCGGGTCAGTTAATTATTTTTTTATAAGATATAGCAAGAGTATAATAAGTGATGTAGACATCAATTTTGAGGCCTCACCGTGGTTAATAATAATGTTAAAGAATTTTCTTAGCCACTCTGTTAGGGTTTTGCAATGTGCATGTTTTAAATGTTCTGCAGAGATTCCAAACGCATCTTTGCTCTTGTTAAACTTTAGGCAAGAGATAGCCATTTTATTATTTTCATCTGATATTATTACCATATAAAATTTGGTACAAGATGGAACTTGAAAATTCGAAGCGGTATGCATCATTGCTTTGGTATTTAAACGTTTTTCGAAACTATAGGCAAATTCTTTAGTGATTGATTCCCTGTCTTTTTTATTAATTATAGTGATTAGTTTTGAGTTTGTATCAGACTTTATATATCTGAAGGTATTCTAGAAGTTTTTTGGTTGAAGTTTTTTAGTTTCACGATTTTTGCGTATTGCTTGAAAAGGTTACAATTTTGAGCGTTTTTGACAGCATTGCGGAAAATTTTTTTTTATGTGCAATTCGATATCGATTAAAAGTGGGCGAGCTTAAATCTTTTTTGACAAAGAACTTCTTAAAATGCAATTTCTTAAAATAAAACGTAAGAACTTTTTTGCTCCTGCTTAACTCGGGAGTCCACCAAGATTTTGAATGTAAAGATTGTTTTTTCAATAATAAGTGTTGGCCTCAGATGCACTTTTCGTAATAAAAGAATAGATTTTAATAAGTTCTTTGTCGTAATTGATATTTGTAAAATGAAAACTTTTAAAATTATTATTTAAACACTCATTATATAATTGTTTAAAACTTTGATTATTCCAGGCATATTTAGGAATACTATTGTCTATAATTTTGTTAACATTTTCTTGGAGAAATTGGCCATTGATTCCTATTACGATTGATATTGGCAAATGATTACTCATACTTTGAGATGAAAAAGGGGCTATAATACAATTCTCAAACTAAAAAGAAGTATTCCTTTTAGAGAGCTGTGTGATCAATGTAAAATGCGTTTAGTGATGTATGATGTTGATACGTTATTTTCGGGCCAGAACATTTAATTATGTCTACTAGCTCAAAATTATTTGTTTTATTTAAATTCTGATAAAGATTCTGATAAAGAGTAATGAAAATTTTCATGAAGTTTCATGAAGATCTTTCTAATAAATCATATATTCCGTCTAATAAATCATATATTCCGTCTAATAAATCATATATTCCGTCTAATAAATCATATATTCCGTCTAGAAACAATTGAAAATCACCAAGTACAATTACTTCGCCAAGACTTTCATAATTATTAATAAAGCATTTAATTATATCTAACTGATTCTTGTATTCATCCAAAGATGTTTGACTATTTTGCAATGAGAGATAAATACCAATAATTATAATTTTTTGAAAAAAACTTCATTATGTTTCTAGAACATTTTACCTGAAAAATTTTAATATACTTTGATACTTTTAAAAAATTTTAATTAATAATAAATTAGTATTTTTAAAATTTACAATTAATATTTATCTTAATATTTTTGTTTAAATAAAAAATACTTGAAAAATTAAACAAAACTACTAGATAAATTTATTACTTTGGCAATCTCGCAAAGGACAATTAAGAAACTCTGTGTTATTTCCATCACACTGATGCCCACCATATTTGGGTCTAGGATCGGAGCAGTCATGAAATCTAGAAATTGTACCACCACGACATGGCTGACTGCACAATGACCAATCAGACCAACCTGACCAACCACCATCAACTAAAGAAATTTGAATTTTGAAAATTATTTGTATATGTGTGTGTGTGTGTGTGTATATATATATACATATATATCATTTTATATATCGAGTAACTTAGTTCTTATTGGTGCATGTTTGCACAGAATTCACAGCAGCCATTAAACACGAGTTAATTGCAAGAAAACACTTATTTTATAAGGAAGTATAAAAAAGTTAATTTAAATATGTGAATATGTAACTTATGTAAATGATAACAATATGTCATTTACATTTAATGTAAAAATTGCATTTGTATCGCGTTATATACACACATTATATAAAAAAGATACTAATATAATTAAATGTTATGTACAAATGTCTGTACAAATTTTAAACGTTATGTCTGTTTACAGACATTTGTACATAAAGTAATCATAAGAAGGTTAAAATTAATCAATTATGTTTATTTTAGTTAACATAAGTTTGCCAGTTGTTTTCAAAACAAATTTACTTATGACTTTTTATACTGACGTCAAATTAATTTTTAACTTTTTATACTGATGTAATAAATCAACACTTTTTAAGCAGGTACTCAAAATAATTGCAACAATACACTGGAGAATAGCATTTTCATTAAATGAATAGCAAATAGTCATTCATTAAACTTTAGTACTAAAGTTTAAAAAATAGTAAAGGATAGTGGAGAGAATTGGGACATTAAAAATATTTCTAGAATTATAATAGTATCTTTTTTATATAATGTGTGTACTCTATCCAACAAGTTTTAACTAATAAAGCATCATTTTGGGCACTGATTCCATTCCCAAAGATTGAAAGCAAATTATAATAAAGTATATATACTTTTGTTATAAGAGGAACCATGTCATAGAGGTAAAGTGGGACAGGTATGAGATAAAGTGCGACAAGAAATTAATTAACAATATATTAACAAAAAAATTTTAATTAAAAACTATTAAATTTGTAAGCGATGCAATCTTCATCAAAACACTCTAAAGATTTTCACAAAATTACACTAAAGTAATTTGGGAGAAATTTCATTAAACAAATAGTAATATTTGTTAAACAAATAGTAATAATTGTTAAACAAATAGTAATATTTGTTAAACAAATAGTAATATTTGTTAAACAAATAGTAATATTTGTTAAACAAATAGTAATATTTGTTAAACAAATAGTAATATTTGTTAAACAAATAGTAATATTTGTTAAACAAATAGTAATATTTGTTAAACAAATAGTAATATTTGTTAAACAAATAGTAATATTTGTTAAACAAATAGTAATATTTGTTAAACAAATAGTAATATTTGTTAAACAAATAGTAATATTTGTTAAACAAATAGTAATTTTTGTTTAACAAATAGTAATATTTGTTTAACAAATAGTAATATTTGTTAAACAAATAGTAATATTTGTTTAACAAATAGTAATATTTGTTTAACAAATAGTAATATTTGTTTAACAAATAGTAATATTTGTTTAACAAATAGTAATATTTGTTTAACAAATAGTAATATTTGTTTAACAAATAGTAATATTTGTTTAACAAATAGTAATATTTGTTTAACGAATTTGTTTAACTGTTAAAAAGTTAAAGCTTTGTATATTTGTTTAACAAATTAACAATTAGTTAACAATTGTTTATAATTATAATATAAATTAACATTATTATTATTAATTATTTATTATAATAATATGAATTATTACTAATTTTATATTACATAACAATATTACTAATTGTTTAACAATTAGTAATATTACTATTTGTTTAACATATTTTTAACAAATTAGTATATAAATAATATTTGTTTAAGGAATTTGTTAAAGTGTTAAAAAATTAAAGTTTAGTATATTTGTTTAACAAATTAACAATTAGTTAACAATTATTTATAATTATAAAATAAATTATTACTAATTTTATATTACATAATAATATTACTAATTATTTAACAATTAGTAATATTGGTTCAAATAATAGTAATAATATTTAACAAATCTTTTTTTTTTATCATTTAACGAATAAATTTTTTTTTAAAAGCTTATTACAAACAGTAATAAGCTTTTAAAAAAAATGCTACTTTAACATTTAATAAATAGTACTATTTATTTAACAAATAGAAATATTTGTTTAATGAACTTGTTAAAAGTTACCAAATTGAACAAATATTCGCTAATCAACTTCGATTGTCAAAATTATACAAACTTTGCTTGTTTTAAACTATATTTTGTAGAAATTTAAAAAAGAAATATTTGAAAACCACAATACTCTCTCAAAAAATAGAAATAAAAATAAAATGTATGTATAAAAGTTGCATTTAAATAAATTACAGTTAAATCGAATTTTATTATTATCATATATATTTACAACATAGAAAATTACAACCTGCCAACGGTCAGTTAAAATTTCATAAAATTTTTAAAATTTTGAAAAAGCATTTAAAACAATTGTTAATGATATGCTACTTTAATTGATATCTGGCAAAAAGATGTTAAAGTGAATTTGTTTTCTTCAATGGCCTGGTTTTTATCTTTGCTTTTTAAAACATTGCTTTAAATTATCTTTTTATTAATAATTCAATAAATAAAAATTAATAATTTAATAATAATTTTATATTATTAATTCTAGTTAAAATATATTTGAATATATGTTAAATTAATTGCTGTTATAATTATTATATAATAACTATTGTATATTATTAAAAACCAGTAATTTTTCCGCTTTAACAATTCGGAACCCATTAATCTGCTTTGTACATGATGTAAACTATATCTATCAAGTTTTTCTGCTTCATTTATTTAAATAAACTTCATTTTACTGATGGCAAAAATCCTTATTTTGATTGAAATTATTAGTGGCGCAGTGGTGTGGGTGGGTGGGGTTTAAATCCCCTCAATGAAAATTGTATTCAAAAATTAGTCAGCAAATTTGGACATTGGAGAAGGCAAAATTGGATCTGTTGTTGGTAGTCGGCAAATGTTAGCTAATGTGAACCTTTTTTGTGCTAGGCCATAGCCAACAAAAAACAGATACGCCACCATCCCTCCTCCCCTTCTTTTAAAAATATATTCAAGACGGCCCTGTAAACATTAACATTAACTACATAACATTAACATTAAGGGTTTTTGAAATGATTTTAATGAAAAAGAGATAAAATGTGCGCTAGTTTTTCTTGTTCAATTTCAGAGTTTTTACTTTATTATTGTTTGAAATTGTTTTATGTAAATAAGAACATTATTTCAACTGAACTTTTTTTTTCTTTTCATTCAATCTTTTTAATTAACTTTCTTGTAGCTTTTTCCACCATTTGTGAAGTCATTTCAATTAAATGAATTATTTTTAAATAAATTAAAAACTATCAATTGCCCGTTTAAAATCTATCAATAAAACTAAACTACTTTTAAAAATAGCATTAAATTTATTTAAAATTATACAAATTTAAATAATACAAATTCATTAATTTTCAAGAAAATTTTTGTATTTATAAAGTTCAGTCATAAAGAAATATTACTAAGATAAAAATTTTAAGATATAAACAAAGAAAAAAATAAAATTTTTGACTTTCAATTCTTTGTATTGGCTGGTAGAAAACCTTTCTATATATATATATATATATATATATATATATATATATATATATATATATATATATATATATATATATATATATATATATATATATATATATATATATATATATATATATATATATATATATATATATATATATATATATATATATATATATATATATATATATATATATATATATATATATATATATATATATATTTATATATATTTATATATATATATATATATATATATATATATATATATATATTTATATATATATATATATATATATATATATATATATATATATATATATATATATATATATATATATATATATATATATATATATATATATATATATATATATATATATATATGTATATATATATATATATTATATATATATATATATATATATATATATATATATATATATATATATATATATATATATATATATATATATATATATAAAGATCAATCATAACATCAATATTATTTTTAAGCTTTATTTACTTTTGATTTACTTCTTGCAATAAAATGAGCCAATATAATAATAAACTAAAAAATTTTAATTGTTTTTTAACTGTTAACGAGTATTTTGTGTCACTTGAGTATCATTTTAAGATTCTGTGTTATGTTTAGTAAAGTCTTTTTTATCATTAAAAAACTTTATTTATTTTTCATAAGTAAATTTTGATGCAAATTTGTTCTCAATTTTAGTAAAAGGTATACTATACTATAATTACAAATTTCAAACTTATATTAAATTTATATGATAAAAAGAAAATGACCTGGGCAAACTTCAGCAATATTGCAGTCTTCAACAGACTTTATAAAACCCATGCAATATCGTCCATCATATGCAGGAAGAGGGTTATTACAACTTCTTTCTTTAGTTTTTACCCTATCAACACCACATGAATTTATACATTTTGACTCACTCCACTCTCCCCACATTCCATCAACTAAAAATCAAATAATAATTATGCTCAAAGTATTTTTTTTAAATGAAATATGTTTATTACCGTCTGACCACGTATAAATAAAAGTAATCATAACAACAGATTAAAAGTTAATAAAATAATTAAAAAAAACGTAATCATAATTTTTAGATTACTGCATATATTAGGGCAAGTAAAAACCATACTTTTTTTAAAATTTTGACAAGCAGCACTATGTGGAGTTTTTGAATTTTTACACAAAAAAAATTTTTTGGGAGTATACATTCTTTTAACAAAAACTTAACAAAAAGATTGAAAATTTTTGTCTACTTTTCAGAGGCTCCTGCTAAAATATACATGCATAACCTTCTCACCTAGCCCAACTTTATCCAAGTTGATTTTGCAAGTGAATTTAAAAGAATTTAAAAATAAAGTGCAGGTTAGGCAAGCTGCAGCTGGTAATCATTAAAAACAATCAATCATTGAATGCTATAATCGCACACTCGCTGAAAAACCTTTTGGACACTAGTATGCTCAGGAGTTGCTAATGACTGAAAAATCAGTTGAATGAGTAAAAGACTTACCTGATGTTGTAAATCCATTATTAGCCAAACTACACGCTTTTTAGAACAAAAATCAATAGATGCAATCAAAATGGAATTTTTTTTGATCATTTCTAACTTTTCTTTTTTTTGATCATTTCTAACTTTTCTTTTTTTTAATCATTTCCAACTTTTCTTTTCCCATTGTAGAAAATTTTACTATGACTTATAATTAACTTTTAGCAAATAAAAAAAAAAAAAATTGTTGCTCAATTTCAGAATTATTAACCTCATGCCTTAAATGAAGTTTCAAATTATGATATCATGGCAGCATAAGAACTTTTTCTATGCTACTATGTAATTTTTTAGTTTATTCTATTTGTTGCATTTTAGTCTCTATAGATAGTATATTTAGTGTTTGTCTATATATTTGTCTACTTTTTATTTTTTAGTAATTAATAATAAAATATAACTAATAATAAACAACACATTGTATCATGGCAACATTTTATACTTGCAGTAAAACTGACGACTTAACATTTGGACAAGGTTCTAAAATTCCAACTGCAATGATTCCTACAAAAAGAGATGTTGTGAAATATTGCTATTATGTTCGCAGAAATGAAAACGCTAAAAGCAAGGATCAAATTCTGCTCATAAATGTTACAGATTAGTTACCACTGAAATTGAAAATATTTGGCGTAAATTCAGTTTTCTAATAATCATGCCTACACATCTACTTTAAAGAAAACTAAAACAAGAAAAAAAAATTTGTAACAAGGAAAAAACAGTTAAACACACATTAAAATGTTGAGAAAGACATTGATAGACAAATTACCTAAGACAGTTTCTATGAATCTGAAGATAATATCTTATTAGATGAATCTTATAATGAATATGACAAGCTATATGAATCTGATGTCATAAAAAAATGCGATCAAACTATGTTTTATTACAATGAACTGGCAATCATAGAAGATTGTTATTGTGTCAGTTGCAGAGCAACTGCTGCTATTGTCAATGCTGCTCTAAAAGACATGGGTTTACTAAATGAATCAAATATGCTTGATAGGAAAAAAGTAGAAAGAGAAAGAGTTCGTGTTGGACAAAAAAATGTAAATGAAAGAAAGTATGAAATAAAAACTTGAAATTACAATATAATGATCGAAGAAAAGACAATACTATAACAACTACGGGGACAATTAAAGAAGAACATATTACAATTGTTAGAGAACCAATCAGCAGCTATATAGATCATCTAACACCTGATAATGGAACTTCTTGCTGCATTGCTAATGAAACTTTCCATTTAATATTTGAAACTGGCAGTAGAAGTTTTTTAAATGCTCTCTTATGTGATGCAACTGTAGTAAGTACTGGAAAATTTGGAGGGGTAATAAAATTAATTGAAACAGAACTCAAAAGACCAATGCAGTGGCTTGTTTTTTAACTACATTTAAATGAACTTCGCTTTAAACATGTATTTGATTTAATTAATGAAAAACTTCTGGCCCAGGATCATTTTAAAGGATCATTTTAAATTGGTAAAAAAATAATAGAGGAGTTAACTAATACACATATATAGGAACCCCCCACAATATGCTGCTTCTTAAAAAAACGTTTTGACCCACCCTAGTATATATTATATATAGATAAAACCTTTTATAACTATAATCAAGGTTATATTATATATACTAATGTTATTATTAAATGATTATTTACTTGGACAGTTCAAAAAATAACAATTTTCTATTTGGGTAACATGACTTAATGCAGTTTTGCTTAGTCTCTTTTTTTTACTAACTCCACATGAAGCAGAACATTCACTCCAAATTGTCCATATTTCTAATACATTCCTTGATTCTTCTAAACAGATTAACATTTATTGGATTAAAATGACAAAAACTAATTAACAAAAAAACATATTTTTATCATCATCATCATCATCATCATCATCATCATCATCATCATCATCATCATCATCATCATCATCATCATCATCATCATCATCATCATCATCATCATCATCATCATCATCATCATCGTCATCATCAATTGCTTCTTTTGGTTACAATTTTGAAATTAATTGTTGAAGATAATCTTTTGTCTATAACAATATAAATGGCCTTTGTATGGAAAGCCAAAGCTGCCTTAAATGCGTTCAGTTCATTATATGATGTGCTCACTGCATTATATGCTGCTTTAACTAAATTATATGATGTGCTTGCTACATTATATTATGTGCTTATTACATTATATCATGTGCTTATTACATTATACTGTTTTTGATTGAATTCTTTATTTTTATATTTATATATATAGTATAAAGAAGTTTAATATAATGATATTTAGATAAGGGGGGGGGGTTCTAAATAATTAGTCTTATTTTTAAAAATGGCACCCTTAGTTTCAGATAAAGAGATTGTTGAAGTTTTAACAAATATTGGTTTACAAAATTTCATAATTGAAAACAGAAAGATTTGATATTCTGTCAGTTTTAGCTGCATTTAATGAGGAACTTAATTGTCTAATCTAAATGTCAAATATTTATTCTACTTTTGTGTAAATTATTTCACAACGCAGAACAAAAGTAGAGAAAAACATGAACAAGAGAGAATAAAAAGCATGAACAAGAGAGGAGAAAAATATAAAGAATTAATTTTAATGTATATAGCAAATATGTATACTACAAAAATTCCTCATATGCAAAAAATCATATGCTGATTTATTCTCAGCAGCAATAAAAAATGATGATGTTTTTAAACTTCCTTTGTTTGCTTCATTGAAAAACAATGACAGTTAAAATAGTTCCAAACTAATGTTCTTTTTTTTTTTGCGAATCTTTACCTAGTATAAGATACCGGAATATGAATAAACAAATGCAAATTTGTTTTTACCCAGTTAGGAAATTAAAAAAGACAACAAGAATGATCTATCTATTGAATGAGACAGATCTATCAATATGGCCGTGAATGATCTATCAATATGAACGAGAAAGATCTTTATCAAACAGTGATAAAAATGTATCAGAAGATTTAGATGCAAAGACTTGCTGTCTTTGCATGTTATCCAATACTGTCATTAGAAAAATTTTTTCACTAAATCCTATTGAAATATTGCAAAAAAAGTTAATAACTGGAAGACCTCTTAAAATTACAGACCACAGACTTGTCCAGAAGGAGAGACATTTTTTATTCTTGTTGACAATTTACATATTGACAACTGCATTTGAAGAGTTGGTATAAAAGATATCTTGATTATTAATAAATTGGAAGCATAATTTTATGAGGTAACTCTTTTAACACTATGAGGTAACTCTTTTAACTATTTTTGTATAATATTCTGTATAGTCATGAATAAAACATCTGCTGCTCATTTTTTATTTGTAATTTTATTAATTTCTAAATGCCTTTCCATATCCTATTAATCATTAATATGAGATTTATAACCTAACAAATGCAAAATTTGACAACAAATATTTTAATTAAATTATTTTTTAAATTATACACATTAGAAAATGACAACAAAATTTGACAACAAATATTTTAATTGAATTATTTTTTAAATTATACGCATTAGAAAATGAACTGAAAGCACTTAGGGCAGCTTTGACGTACCTTTTATTGTTTGGCAATAACTTAATTGCTTATCATTGACACTCCTAGTTAATAATTGTTATATATATATATATATATATATATATATATATATATATATATATATATATACATACATATATACATACATACATACATACATACATACATACATACATACATACATACATACATACATATATATATATATATATATATATATATATATATATATATATATATATATATATATATATATATATATATATATATATATATATATTATATGTATGAAATACAAATTTTTTTATTTTTATATTTATTTATTTTTCAAAATTAAATTAAGCTGTTTTTCTGTTGGTCTCTGATTAACTAAAACATAAATAAACTTAACATATATAATACATACTTTAATAAAAAATAAATAAAACAAAAAAAAAAACATAGATTTATCATAGAATAAGGAAAAGTTTAAAAACTAAAAACATCTGTTAGCTTTGTTTGAAATTCTCCTTAATTCTTACTATGTTAAATAGTGAGTGGTTGAGGATCATATAAAATTACTCCTTGGTATATGAAACCTTTCTTTGTGGTTTCAAGTCTTAATCCAGTAATATTTCATTGTCTCTTGTGTTGACTCTATGTCAAATAACCTTGAAAATGTTAGATAATACACCTGAATGGAGGTCACAAGACCAATCAAGGTTTTTCTTTAAAACGCAACTTTAGAACTTTTATTTTCTTGGAATTTGATATACTGTTACATACATGGTAAAAGCGGTTTATTTAGGTTTTAGTGAGTTTTATACTGATTAAGTTGATAAAGCCACAGCAAGTAAAAATTGGTAAGATCATCGAGAAACAAATTAATTTAGCAGCTTTTAATGTTAGAAGGTGATGTGATTTATTTAGCAACCTTTTACAACTGCTAATCTTATTATATTTAAAATTAAAATTTTCATTAGCTGAAAGGATTTGATTAAAATAGACTCCAAGATACTTGTATGTTTTAATAATTTGAACTTTATTAAATTAAAGGTTTTTCAGCATTTTGATAGCTTCCTTGCAGTTTAAAAAAGCTTTACTTCAGTTTTACTTTTTTTTTAAAGATTTAGCATTAGATCATTTATTTTAAACCAATTCTAAATGGAATTCCAACAATCAGTTTAAGTAATCTAGTAGTTTTCTTCAATTAAGTTTCATTATCAGTTACAAAAATAACAGTGTCATAAACATACTTTATAATTGAGCTGTGTTTTAGACATCTTATACATCATTAAATTCTATTAAATATAGTAAAATTCAGAGAATTGAACCTTGCACAACTCCTCTTGTAATTTTCTGAGACTCGGGCAATTTCCATTCATATATAAAAAACTAGGTTCTGTTAAAAAGATAATCAGTTATAAGTTGTTATGATAAACCAAATATTACATATGTTGGTAATTTTGATAATTGATTAGCATGGCTAACTGTGTTGTAGGCTTTAGTTAAGTCAATAAATATGTTTCCAAAAAGATGTTCATTATCAATGCTTTTCCGTTATCAGAAATAAATTGTAACAGTTGATTCTGCAAAATGGCTAGATCTATAATCAAATTTATGATTGCATAATAAACTATTTTCTTCTAGATACTCACTAACTAACTAACTTATCTTTGTTATTTTCTACTCACTAGTTTAACAATCAATAATTTTACCAAAAACGTTAGATATTATAGGAAATACAGATATTGGTATGTAAATTATCAAACTTTATATTAACTTCTAACTTTGGTCACTTCAAAAGAGATTTTTGTGCATAGTTTATTATTGAAGTTTCAAAAAGTTGAAAATTTTTTTTTTCCAAGTGCACTTAATTAACTGAATTAATTTGATCTCAATCAATTTCAAAGTTTTTTAAAAATAAACACTTTTTATTTTTACTTGGATAGACCTCCTTAAGGTTCCCAAAACTCCACGGGATTGCCTGTGATTAATGTTTGTCAAAGAAAATGAACAAAACAGCCTTCATTTCTCTGCATGCTTATTTGCGTTTTTTAGATTTAAGATAAAATTCTAAAATTCTTTGTGTAACTTTAGTGTACTTTTTGTGTAACATTTTTGTACTTTGATGAGGTATTTTTAAACCTTTAATTCTGAGATGATTCTGAGATGAGGCATTTTCAAACCTTTAATTCTGAGATGATAATTTATAATATTTTTATACAACAAAAGAAAAATAAAAAAAGTAATGATACATAAAGATCAAAAAAATTGCTAAAAGAATTTTAAAGTAAAGTTAACTTTATTATTCATTTTGTTATTAAATTAAAAAATTTTTTTTTTTTTTACCTATACAGTTCTTATTTTCATACAACATCCATCCTTCTTCACAAGTGCAATTAAAACTACCATTTGTATTAATACAAATGCTATGATCCCAGTTACACAGAGAGCTTGTGTTACATTCATCGATATCTATTGTTAAATTAAATTTTAAAAGTTTACTTACTTTTTCATTTGTTTTCAATATAAGAAACATTTGTTTGCATACAAGAAACATTTGTTTGCATATAAGAAACATTTGTTTGCATATAAGAAACATTTGTTTGCATATAAGAAATATTTGTTTGCATATAAGAAACATTTGTTTGCATATAAGAAACATTTGTTTGCATATAAGAAACATTTGTTTGCATATAAGAAACATTTGTTTGCATATAAGAAACATTTGTTTGCATATAAGAAACATTTGTTTGCATATAAGAAACATTTGTTTGCATATAAGAAACATTTGTTTGCATATAAGAAACATTTGTTTGCATATAAGAAACATTTGTTTTCAAGTAATGACACCTTAAATAATACTTAATATATTTTTATACTTAAATATACTTAATTTAATCAAGGTAATTATTTAAAATACTTAAAATAATTATTTAAAATACCTTAAATATACTTAATTTAATCAAGGTAATTATTTAAAACAAAAACATTAAATTGATAGCATAAAAAAATTAAAAAAATTTTTAATAATAAAAAAGTTAATAATAATAAAAAAAAAAAGAATCATAAATATAAAAGAATTTTTAAAATAGTTTTAAAATGTTTATATTTATATAGATGTTAGCTCATGACATATATGCTTTAATAAAGTTATCCTTAAGAATAGAAAAACAGTTTATAAGCCTATGACGACATGACGGAAATAAGTGTTTTATAATTTTATAAAATGGAATATGGACATGATTAGAGCATGATTAGTGCAATGATTAAGTTATCAAAATATAAAAGCATGTCAGGTGTTTCATGTCAGAAGTTTTTAGAAAAAAAAAGGTTAGCCCAAAGTAGGATAACATAGCATGTGTACACGGTGTAACACAAGAAAGCTGAAGTAAATAAAAGCAGATACATTAGAAGGTTGCTAAAGATAAAGATACATCAGAATAAAGGTTGAGCTTTACCATTTTTTTATCTGGTAAATTTTAACATTGCTAAAATTAAAAAGAATTGCAATTGCATTATTATTTAAAATATTTATACAGTTTCTGTCAGGATTTAAAAAAAAGTTTTAAAAACAGCGCTTTTGTCTATTATATGTTTTTGAATGTTTTTGTAAATTTTAGGTTTTTTATTAATTAGAGTAACTTTAATTTTTTTCTTCAATATTAAATAAAATATAATTTACATCTCTAAGGTCATTTAAAAAAACAGTTTTAAAAAAAAGAACTAGAGTTCTGATTGGTTCAGTTTTAATTTGATAACTGATCAAAGTTATCAAATTAAAACTGAACCGATATGGCTATGAAAAAAAAAAAATTGATTTGAATACATAATCATCTCCTATATTTAAATTGATAAAATTACATGCCAATTTAAGTCTTTTTTTTTTTTACCAAATTAACGGGGAGTCATAATTTTTTATATATTTCATATCATTGCAAACAAAATAGCGCTAGAACCAAAACTGATAAAAAAAACAATTTTAGCCCTATCTTGTTGGCAATATAACTTCCATTCTGATAGTATAATTTTTATGCAGACAAAACAAAAAAGTTAATAGAAAATCAAAAAAGTAAGAAAAATTATTTTTTCTGATAAAATCACACACTCGATTAATTATCTAAGTGCTTATCTTTATCTAATTAACAAAGCGTTAATTCCGATTTAATCAAAATAAATATGTTATTTGTCAATACATTCATCATTTACTCATTATTAAAAATCAATTATTAGGTTTTTTATATTTCTCAATATAACTTACTTACTTTAAAATTTCAACTAAAAAAACAAAAGCGTACAAGAAAGATGATATACTAGTGGCATTAACTGATATGAAAGAAAAAAGCTGCATTTAAATATGGTGTTCCAGGCTCAACACTCAAAGATCTCAAAAATAAAAACAATAAAGGTTTCCATAGCTCAGGTACAACAAGAGTACTCTCAAACAAAACAGAAAAAATGATGCATTCTCATCACTTAGTAACTGGGATTATGATTTATGACATGAAGATCAATTGCACTTGTTAAAAAATGGCAAGCCTCGCAAAGACTATTTTTATGGCTTTATTAAGAGATGGTCAGAAGAAAATTCAACAAGAAAAGTGGAGAACTGCTTCTTGTACGTCAGAAATAATAAAAAATGATCGTTATTTTGAATGCGTTGCATCTTAAGGGAGTCTACATTTTGTATTAAGTTTAGCAACCTTTACAGCTTCCTCTGTAGCTTTTTCTTAATCTTTCTGTTTGAGGAACTTATTCATGTTTTCTTCAGTAATATATTTTCCGTCATGCAATATTTAAAAAGTTTTTACATGTTGCACTGCTTCAATTTTTCATGCAATTGATTTCTGGCGTGAAAAAATTGCTTTAACTCCATCTTGATACTATTTTTGCAATGCTCAAAACATGCTTGATACCTATAAAACTCAAAGCTGGTGTAGTTGATAAAGATGGTAATAAGTGTGTAGTTGGAGTTGGTACTGCAACAGCTGTTGAAGATGATGATTTTGTGACTGAGCTGCAGAGACTGCTAAAGATGATAATGGTGGATTAGACACTTGTATGATTGCTAATGCCTTATAATTTATGATGTTTTTATTAAATAGAAATAAGCCATTATACTGAAAACATTTGCATGCGAAAAACATATTCTGCTTTTATACTGCAGTTTATGGTGGCAAATTTAATTTTTATTTTTTTATATAGTTTTTCATTAGCTGTCTTATAAAAAAAAAAAAAAAAAAAACACTAGAAAAAAAGTTATTTATTAATGTGTGGCTTGACCTGGTTTTACTCTATTGATTTAAAAAGGAAAAGAAAGTAATACATCAAGATGTCACCAAACATGAAGATTGAAGTTCTGAAATATTTTTGCAAAAACATCAATCCCATGTACCATGTAAATATGATTTTATATATGAGGTATTTTAATTTAAAATATAAAACACATATAATAGAACAAGATTAACTCTTAATTTTTTCCTTTGAGAGATGGCTGCATTAGAATGTAGGGTAGATGTCTTAGCCCTCAAATGAAACTCACTAAAAATATTGAATGCATTGATACATACATAGATAGTCATAATATATCTAAGAAAATCCAAAATATTATTAAAAAAAAAACAACATTAAAATAAAATTATTGAAAAGTCTCCTAACTTAAAATATTTGGTGTTGTTTTAGATTTTTGATAAATTTTATAAATTTCAGAAAGAAAAAAGAAATTTAAGAAAGAAAAAAGAAATTTGATAAATTTTAATTAAAGTTACATCTTTATTTAATAATAAGGATATAACATTAATTAAAATTTATTAAAATTAAAAATAAATGTCTTATTACAAAATAAGATTTTTATATAGATATTTATATAGATATTTATAATTATAACCATTATTGATGTTGATTAAATAAAAATAAAATTTTAATTTTTTTATATACACAAAGTTAGAGCTGTCAACTATCTAAGTTGAATTGTTGCTAATAAAATTTGTTCTTACATCTCTTCTTAATAGCTATGTGATAATAACCAAATTACCATCACATAGCTATTAAGAAGAGATGTAAGAAGCAATCATACCTATCCATTGTGCGACATACATGACTAATTCTATTATTTTGGGTTAAAAAAAGTTACAAATTAAAAATAAAATGTAAAAAAGTGATTTTCACTAGAGGTGTACCGGATATTTTTGCCGGATATGTCGGATGTTGAACTTTTTTAAAGTTCTATAAGTGTTTATGAATAAAAAACAAGTCTTGCCTACAATAAATACAGTCTACAATAAATAGTATTTAAGATCTTACTTTAAAAAATCAAGAGAAAATCTGTATGACATGGGATATGTGCTGACGAAGTATAGAAAATGGTAATTAAAAAAAAAAAATTTGGCTGTAAAAACGAGTTTTTACATACAAAAAAAAAATTTTTGTATGTAAAAACCTGACAACTGAAAATAAAGATAAAATAGAAAGATGGTTTTACAATCTTTATCCTGATTTTGTACCTTGTTTAACTTTGCTTTAAATAAAGAATTGCAAAACATTCCCAACAAGAATGTCTAGCAATCAAATTATATCAATATTATTGTGCAGAGATAAATAATAGAAGAGATTAATCAGAGAAACAAGAAATTTACCGGAAAGAAATTTACCTAAAAGATTTTAAAGATTTATTTCTTAATGTAAAACTAAGTTTTATTACTATCAAAAATGTAAAACTAAGTTTTATTAAGATCATGAACGTTCAATAATAATGTTTTTTTGAATTTTACTTCATAAAGTTATAAAATGTCTAAAAAATAAAACATACTACATGTGTTTTATTGGACAGATGCCAACCCTAATTACGATGCTTTTTATTGCATTTATAATTAAAAATCTAAAAAGCACATTCATTTTTTAGGAATGACTGAAAAAGATAACTGTTTTTTAAAAAACCACAAAGAAGCATTTTAGTTAACACAACACTATTTCAGTTGGCTATCTATTCTAAAAGTGTCAAAAACATTCCTCAAGGCCAACTAAGCTATTTATAGCTATTGAATGGGAAATGTTTTTCTGCTAAACTTAATAAATACACCTCCTAAACTTTACACTTGATAAAAACACTTGATAAATACATCTGCTAAACTTGATAATTGCACCAAATAATCCTTGAAAAAAAAAAAAAAAAAGAAAGATTCCAGACATTTACCAGACAAACACTGGAATAATGGGCTTACAAGTTTTTCTGGGATCTATCTCAAGAAAAAGTAGCAGAAATGGTCTCAGAAAGAGTGATAGAATTTCAAATATGTTTGGGTCATGGTTTATTCTGCCACCAATGAAGCTTTAATATTGGTTTAGAAAAGTTGCAACATCAAACTTACTGACTCATAGAGTTTATCTGGCTGTTAAAAAAGATTTGTAAAAAAATAAATTAGTACGAGAAAAATGTCTCCAAATTTGAGAATGAAATCAAAAATTCTTATAAAGAAAATATCTGTGAATTAACAAATGACAGTGAAAAAAAACATGTAAAAATTGACAAAACACACAAAAAATGACAAACCTGACAATAAGGAAAATTCGAGGAAGGTTCAATGATGATGAAAGCAATAAAAGCATTCCTGTTCCAAAGATCAATGTTTGTTTCCAGTCTGCCATCAACAAAAATTAAAACATTGTCAAGTTGTTTCTAAAATCTCCAGTCAAAAATATTGTGCTTTAAAAAAGTTAAAAAAAATATTGTGTGATAATAAAAAAGTTAAAAAAAATATTGTGCTTTAAAAAAGTTAAAAAACTGCAAAATAATTGCTCTTATTTTAGATTGCTAAAAAGATAAAAAAAAAAAAAAAAAGATAAAATCTGATGAACAGCGTAATGCCATGAACAGTTTAATGGCAATGATTTAACAATTTCTTAAAACAAAACAAAAAATTGGAATTGTTGTGACATTTCCCTAAACCTTATTAGCACTAAAAAAGTTTGCTTGCAGAGGGAACTTTTGAGTTTCTGAACAACAAACTGAAAAAAATGAGTCTTTCTATCAAAATGAAAAATGCAATTATAAAGCGATTTTGTTCAGAGATAACAAAATAATTTGTTCAGAGATAACAAAATAATTTCTTCAGAAATAACAAAATAATTTGTTCAGTGATATTAAAATAATTTGTTCAGAGATAACAAAGCAATTTAATGAATCTGTACAAACATCTAGAAAAAAAAAATCTTACCTATACAGGATTTATTTTCATACAGCATCCATCCTTCTTCACAAGAGCAATTAAAACTACCATTTGTATTAATACAAATGCTATGATCCCAGTTACACATAGAGCTTGTGTAACATTCATCAATATCTATTGTTAAGTAAAATTTTTTAATTTAATTTTTTTTTTTTTTTTTGCATAAAAAAAGCAAATACATTTTTACAAAAAATATGAAATAACTCACATAAAAACTGAAAAAAATAAAATAATACTAATATTATATATATATATATATATATATATATATATATATATATATATATATATATATATATATATATATATATATATATATATAAAAATACTAACATTATATATATATATATATATATATATATATATATATATATATATATATATATATATATATATATATATATATATATATATATATATATATATATATATATATATATAATATTAGTAAGAAAACATCAATTTATACACTACATTTATATATCAATATATAAATGTAGTGTTGTGGGGTTAAATGAAATACGCTAATAAATAAATACGAAGCAATACCAATTGTTATATTGCTATGTAAAATTAATTTTACACATAGTGTTAATAAATTTGATTTTGCCTTTTAACTTTAATTATGTATATATAATATAAACATATATGCATTGCATAAAATTATATACATTGTATATAGTTGTATATAATACATATATACATACATCAAAATCTTATATATACATCTTTACCTTCAATATTTTTTATACTATGAATATAACTTTAAATAATTTTGTGTGTAACTATGGGTGTAACTTTATATAATTTTAAAATTTAATTTCAATATTAATTTAACTATGTTACGCTAATAAATATCTTTTATCATAACTTACATTTTATTTTTTAGGCTTTTGATGTTATGATTGTCTTAAAATAATCATTTAAAAACAACAATTTAAAAAACAATTTAAAAAACAAAATTTTTACCTATACAACTATTATTTTCATACAGCATCCATCCTTCTTCACAAGAACAATTAAAACTACCATTCATATTAATACAAACGCCATAATCCCAGTTGCACATAAAGCTTGTGTTACATTCATTGAAATCTATTGATAAGTTTACTTCTCTTTTTGTTTTTTACATATTAAAATTGTTTAGTTTACTTGGTTTTTAAAAGATGTCATCTTTTGAAAACCAAGTAAAGTAAATACTTTTTATAATGAATAAAACTTTTAATTTAATATCATAACAAAAAATTAAAAAAATGAAACAACTCACTTAACTGTAAAAATTAAAAATAAATAAATCAAATAGTCATAAATCTTCAAAATGGAAATGTAAAAACTATTTTCTAAATAAATAAGAAAGATTTATACTTACAATTTTTTTTACAAATATACTTATAAATTTCAAGAAAATATAGATATTATCCTATAATATATCTTCTTAAATAGAACTACCCTTAAGAACTAAAAAACAATTGATGAGCTAATTTTGACAGAGGAATTAATGTGTATCTTATATAGTGGAATAGGGATAAATTAAGTATAAATGATGATGCAAATAGTTGAGGTATTTAAACCATAATTTTTTCTTCATATATGCTTTTTCTGTATATTTTCTTTTCTTCATATATGCTTTTTCTTCATATTTTCTTTTCTTCATATATGCTTTGAGTTATTTTTAAACATACTGCAATTGTTTATTTTAATAAATGTGCAAAGGGGCATGCATATATGTATGTCTCTTCAAGTATATGTTCACATTTATACATGATAATTATATGTCTAGGTATTGACATATTTTGTTCATAGCCACACCACATGCAACCATTACCACATTCTACTACCTCACTACCCTCACGAAATCTCTAAGAATGTTAGAGCTGTATTAAAAACTGGGATAGGTTTCAGGTCTTTTGGCTTTCTTAGTGCAGTCCTATTATACTGCAATATTGCATGAAGTAGAGTGCAAAAATCATTGCCTGCACTCTACTTCATACACTGGCATGAAGTAGAGTGCAGGCAGTGATATCTGTGCCAAGGAAATGATCATGACTAATGGCATTAGTACAGGTCACAAGATCCCTGAAACACCATTTGTGATCAAAGTGCAATCCTGAGGAGGGGGATCATTATACATCCTTTAACTCTTGAATGATTATAAATGCATTTTTTTACTCTTCACCCATGTTTTAATGCTTTAGATTTATATTATTTTTTTAAAATATTAATGATATTAATGAGATCTATCCAAATTTGTCTCATCATCTATCCTGCTGTGACACAGGTGGTAGTCAGTTTTTTATATTATTATTACTTGTATAATGTTTAGACCAAAACTTATACTACATTTACAATTTACTTTATTGTTTTTGCTTTTGATGTTTTAATTGTGTTAAAATGATCATTTAACAACAACAAGAACAAAAACTTTTTTTTACCTATACAGGTCTCATTTTGATACAACATCCATCCTTCTTCACAAGAACAATTAAAACTACCATTTGTATTAATACAAATGCTATGATCCCAGTTGCACAAAGAGCTTGTGTTACATTCATCAATATCTATTGTTAAATAAAATTAATTTTTTTTTTTTTTTTTTTCATAAAAGATATTTAAATTTGTGTTCAAAAGATTACACAATGGATAAAAATTTTAATTTTATCAAGAATCTCATTAAAATTCATACAAAAAAAAAAAAAAAGAAGTAACTCACATATAATAAATAAATAAAATGGTCATAAACCTCCATTAACACAAATATAAAAAATATATTTTACAACAACTTAAAAAGATTTATGCTCATATATAAATTTCAAGAAAATATAAATATTTCCTTATAAATATTTCTTTATAAATATTTCCTTATAAATATTTCCTTATAAGATATATCCTTGAATAGAACTTAAAAACAAAAAAAAAATAATCAAAGAGCCAATTTTGACAGAGGAATAAATGATTCTATTTTATATAGTAGAATAGAGATATATAGAGCACAAATAGATATATATAGAGCACAAATAGATAAATACAGAGCACAATATAAAGTACAATAATGCAAAAAGTTAAGTTAATTGAACCTCTTTTTTTTTCCTAATCTGCTTTGTTATATATTTGAACATATTGTAAATAAACACACATATAAGCATGTGCATAAATTTGTCTCTACAAGTATATATACATGATATTTATGTCTAAATATTTATTTATATTTATTTATTTATATATATTTATTTATTATACATATTTATTTATAGATAAATTTATTTATATATTATTTTATTTATTTATACATATTTATTTATAGATAAACCAGATATATTCTATCTCATAGCATTCCTCACCTCCTTCACGAGATGTTACCTCCTTCACGAGATCTCACAAGAATTTTAGTGCTGTATTAAAGTATAAATAGTGGATTTAATGCAGGTTTTGAACTCCCTAAAATACTATTGGTAAATACAGTGCTTTCCCAAAGATGGGGATACCATACATCTACTAAATAAATCTAAATATTTATAAAGGAACCAACATTTTTCTACTTACCCAATATTTGAAGTACTTTTTTATATTTGTATTATACTTTTGAAATATCAACAATATTTAGTCTCTTTATCTTTTTGTAACCCAGTTGGTAGTTTTTTAGTTTATTTACTTGTCTAGTGTTTAGACCATGACTTATACTACATTTACAGTTTATGTTTTTTTGACACATAGATACCAACACTATAGCTTAATGGATTAGTGCACTGCAACATGCGTCTAAACTCTAAATCCTCAATATAAGGAGAACCATTAGCATATTTTCTGCTTTTCTTTTTATATTATCCAAATTATTAATTACTATATTTTTAGCAATTATACCTATTTGTTTTACTTAATATTTTATACTACCAATATTTATAGTCATGATTGCACTAATTACATAAGTAGATTTATATAGACTTGCTAACTCACAGTCTATTATTTCATTATTTGCTAAGGATGATTAGAACATAAGTTATGTCCCCCCTCTCCCCCTTGACCAAACAAATTTAATATTCTTAACTTTCCTTGCTGACTCTTACCCAATAACATCATATATAATCTGTTTCTATCACCATACCTTCCTGGTCTATATAACTGGATGGCTCCATTATTCACCTTTTATGATCATTATGTCGCAAACAATTATAAAAAAAATCAGCCTGCATTACTTTAACTTAATTGTTTTATATACTATGAGTTTAACTTAAACTTTAAATAATTTTAAAGTAAATTCAATTTTCATATGTAATGTTGATAAATATCTCTTATTTTAACATTAATTTTATTCATAATATCATTTGATGTTATAATTATTTTAAAATTATCATTTAACAACAAATAAAAAACAATTTTACCTATACAGCTCTTATTTTCATATAACATCCATCCTTCTTCGCAAGAGCAATTATAACTACCATTTGTATTAATACAGATACCATAGTCCCACTTACACTTAGGGCTTGTGTTACATTCATCGATATCTATTGTTAAGTTAAATTTTAAACTTACTAATTTTTTAAATTTTTTTGTGAAAATAGAGCATTTAATATCATTTTTCAAAAAAAAAAAAACATCTACTTGAAAAATATTTTTTGCTTTAAATAAATTTTTATTGGTTGTTTGGGAGCAGAATTACAAATACTTTAGATTACAATTACTCAGGCTGAGTTAAATTAAATTTTTTAATTAATTCATCTTAGCATTGAATATCTGAAAAAAAAAAAAAAAAAAAAAAAAAAAAAAAAACACAAAATAAACAGTAATTTGAAGAACTAGAATAAATTTTTTTGAATCAAATTTCAAATCCAAGCAAACTTGATTCACAAATCAAATCAATTCACAGGGCCTGAGTATTAACTAAATAATCTAATTTTCCAAAAAAAAAATTTTTTTTTAATATTAATGCATTTCATACATTAAAATTCATTTTAAAAATTCATTTGGCTTCCGAGCTCAGTTGAAGATACCAGCAACAGAAAACATTGTTTTGTTGGATGTTGACGTGGGTTGAATTGTTTTGTTGGATGTTGACGTGGATTGAATTGTTTTGAGAGCAGCATCAATATTATTTAAATTTGTTGTTTAAATTCCACTTGTTTCAAATGGCTTTAACTCCTTTAGTATCTCTAAAAATGGATCACAATTACTAATTTTGGGTTGGAACAGTATTCCAAACCAAAATTAGATAGAGATTGCTGTAACTGTGTCTTCAGATTAGCTTCTTCAGTAACTGTTTGATTATATTTTTTACATAAAAAATAATTGGTGAATTTGATGATTTTTTGAAGTTATCATTTATTTGTGATGCATTTGAATTAAGGTTTTGCAAATATCTCATTAGCAACACTATATCTTTGATGGTCGCTTATTGTATCACTTTTTGAGTAAATCTAGCATCACTACACTTTTTGAGTAAACCTAGTATCACTACACTTTTTGAGTGAATCCAGCATTACTACACTTTTGGCGTAAATCTAGCCAAAAGTGTAGTGAACCCAGCATCGCTACACTTTTTGCTTAAATCTAGCATCACTTCACTTTTTGAGTGAACTTAGTATCACTACACTTTTTGTGTAAATCTAGCATCACTACACTTTTTGAGTGGACCTAGCATCACTACACTTTTTTAGTGAACCCAGCATCACTACACTTTTTGAGTGAATCATAAAGATTTTTTGAACAAAAACATGTGAACATCTTCACTGGTCAGAATTGTTGAGTTACGCATACTAGGCTTCTTAACAGCCAATTCAACAAACTTTAACATTTTAAAAATATCTTCCAAAACCCTAAAATCAACTTCAAAAACTATTTGTCTAATGTTCAAAACTTTTTGAATGCAAGGTTTCAATATTATCAACCTTTCAATCATAGGACCCCAAAAGTTCCATTTGTTTTAATGTCAAGTTTTTAAATCAATTTTTTATTTTCTTGTTCAAAACCACACATTTGCAAAATTGAGCTGCGAACTGTTTAAAAATTGAAAAAAATTAATAAGTTAACATAAATTATTTAATACAGACTTGATGTCATCTCAGAATGTTCTATTGGTGCTTCTATAAGCAGTTTTCTCAATTCATTAAAAATGTTACTGCAATTAATTCGCTTAAGACAATCATTGCCATTACAATCCGAATTTAAATCATTATATTCTCCTGAAGAAAGATTCCTATAAAGTTCTTTGCAATCTTTTCTTTTCCAGTAACTTCCAAATTTAATTGTGGTTGCTTGCAGCCTTGTTTAAAGTGAAGATGTTTAAAAAAAAAGGGTTGTCATTAAAACTTACACAAACAAAAAATATGAAATAACTTACATAAGGAGCTGTAAAAAAAAATCAAATAATCATAAATCTTTATAAAAATAAAAATTCAAAAATATCAAGAAAATATAGATATTAACCTATAAGTTATATCCTTAAATAGAACTACCTTTAAAAACAATATAACGCTAAAAAAAATTTTTTTCAGCGTTAATTTGAGCCCTGCCAAATCAATAACAATAAATAAATTTCTTGCCTTGAACACCTTGAATATAAAGTTAAAAAAATATGTAAATGAATTTAACAGCAATTCAAAAAAAAAAATAAAAAATTTAGAGTTGAGATGATTTAAAAAAAAAAAAAAAAAAAAACTTTAGTGGAAAATTAAGTTAATTAATTGAAGTAAATATCAGAAAGAAACTGGTTTTCAATAATTTTGAAGCCAAGTTTTTGTTATTAAAATGTATCACTTTTGATAAAAAGCACCTGGTATTGGTAATGATTATTATCTTTTTACTAGCATTACAAAATTAATCATTATTACCATTATTACATAGAAAAAAAAAATTGATATCAAATAACAAATATGTAAGAATATTAATAAAATATTAAAATGTAAAGAAGTTAAAAAGCAAAAAATAATTGAATAATTTTTTTATAAGATCCTAATAATTTCTAGCATATTTTTGTTTTCAAATTTCTGTTCCTTAATATTAAGAATAAGGTTTTGAACAATTTTTAGATTTAACTCCAAGAGTATGTTTTTAAAAATATAATTTTGAGTTAAACATTTTTTTTTTACACTATGGACAAAATTTAACTTTGAACAGTTTTTAGCTGGTAATTTTTATTGTTTTGGAAATATCTTTTATTTTGCTGTTTCATGCTTTTTTTATTTATTTATTTTAGTTTTTGATATTTTTATTTTCTTAAAAAACATTCAACAAAAAGAATAAACAACTTATACCTATACATCTCTTATTTTCATACGACATCCATCCTTCATCATACAACATCCATCCTTCTTCACAAGTGCAATTAAAACTACCATTTGTATTAATACAAATACTATGATCCCAGTTGCACAGAGAGCTTGTGTTACATTCATCAATATCTATTGTTAAGTAAAATTTTTAAAGAATTAATTTTTTTTTTTTTTGCATTTAAAATACATTTTTATTTTAATTTGTGTTCAAAGGATGACAACGTGGATAAAACTATTAGTTTAATCAAGGTTGTCATTTAAGCATAAACAAATAAAAAATCACATAAAAACTGTAAAAATTTACAATTTTTATGTGATTTAATAAATCAAGAGATGAGCTTTTAACATTTTTTTAACCAATTTACTGATAGATTTTTAAACAAAAAAAAAAAAAATCATTTATCATATTTTTTTTTGTAGCATAAATAAATGATGACATTTCTCTGATTTTCTCTGGTATGTCATACATAAATGACATACCAGAGAAAATCAAAAGTACTGTAAAAATATATGCAGATGACATCAAAGTCTCATCAGCAGTAAATTCAATTGATGACGCTAAATTAATTCAAAGAGACTTAAATAATATAGTAGAGTGATCAGAAAAATGGTTAATCAAACTGAATGAGAGTAAATGTGTGGTTATGATGGTAAAAATAAATGGATCAGAAATTAACAATTAGACAAATGAACATGATCTTGGTGTAAATTTTGATATATCACTGAAATGGAAGAAACACATAGTAACATGTACATCAAAAGCAGATTAAATTGTTGTATATTATCAAAAGCTGTCAAAATGAGTTTTTAACTCATTTGCTGTTAATAAGTTAATATGTAGTTTTAACATTATTACTATTACTATTATAATCATTACAATTATCAGTAAATTTTAATAGTTAAAAATTATTAAAATAATAGCTAAAATAAAAAAATGAAACTGAAATTGTAATATTATATAAATAATAATAATAATAATAATATATAACAAAATCTAATATAATTTATAATATTTACACTGTTACAGTTAAGGTCTTTATAATGCTTTAAAAAAAAAGCAGGGTTTATGCCAGTGGATTATTTTAGGTTTAAGTAAGTGGTTTTCCTAGTTTTGAGTTTTATATTTAGTTTATATTTCAATTTTCTTTTTTCAATAACATTGAATAGAATACAACTTTTTTTTTTAAAGTTCATTAAAAAAATTTTCAACAAAGAAAATTATAAAATAAAAATAAAAAGGTTTTTGATCAGTGCTACTGCCATCTGTGCTGATGCTCAAGATGGCTGAAAATCAAGAGTTTATAGACATGTTTAATTCATCAAAACCAAGGTATTATTAAGCCATGTTCAGAGGAGAAATAATTGTAAATTGCATGGAGGGAAACTCCTAGAAAAGTTTGTAATTAAGTAAACAATAAAATGATGGATCTAATGCTGTTAGTAATCTTATATTTAGATTTATATTTATATTTTATGATGGATCTAATGCTGTTAGTAATCTTATATATTAAAGTTTTAATCTTTAAAACTTTAGTCTAAATCAGATTGTGTATAAAATAAAAAAACAGCAAAGTATTGCACCTTTGTAATGTCATTAAAGAACTTAAGGAAAGATACAATAAAGAAGTATTTGCAATGATAATAGATAATAAAAAGAAGATGGAAAAAATGAGGGAGTTAAAAAAATATATTCAAATCTTTCAACACATGGGTATTCTTCACATAATATATAACTTTTATAAAAGAAAGTAACATATCAAACATTTGATTGAAGTGCAAAAGTTTTTCACAGTGTAAATATTAAGTTGTATATGAGGTTAATTAACTTGAAATAAAAAATAATAATAATAAAAGTTTGATTTGATTAATTAGGTTTCAAAATATCCACCAGACATTGGACATAAATTTTGTCAGAAAAGTGCCAAACATAACTGTCTGGCACTTGTCTGACAAAAAATAACATCTACCAGTCATTTTGTCCGGCCCATATTTTATACACTTAATTTATAATCATTGTTGTTCTAAAATTAATAGTAAATTCAGAAGAGTATTTAACTTTTATTTTTTGAACTTTTTTTTATGCAAAACTGAAAATTAAGCTGAACTCACAGTTATGGAAAACTGAATAAATGTGAGCTTTCATAAGTGTGAACTGGCAAAACAGCAAAGCAGTTGCAAAAACTGACATAAGTGCAAACTGGCATAAGTACACCAAAAGAATTTGAAAACATCAACATAAGTGCAAATTGGCATAAGTATGAACTGTCACAAGTGCAAATCTGTTTTCAAAAACTAGCACTAGTGCAAACTCAAATATGTGCGAACTGACATAAGTACAAAGCAGTTGCAAAAATTAACATAAGCACAAACTGGCATAAGTGCAAATTGGCATAAGCAAGTCAAAATAATTTGCAAACATAGGCATAAGGGCAAAGCAGTTACAAAAACTGCTATAAGTGCAAGCTGGTATAAATGTGAATCGACCAAATGAATTTGCAGTCATTGGCACAAGTGGGAACTGGCAGAAGTGCAAAGCAGTTACAAAATCTGGCTTAAGTGCAAACTGGCATTAATGTGATTTGGAATAAGTGAGCCAAATAAATTTCCAATCATCGACATAAGTGCATATTGGAATAAGTACGCCAAATAAAATTGCAAATATTGACATAAATCCAAATTGCATTTTTTGCAATTATGCCAATTTGCACTTTTGGCAGTTTGCACTTATGGCAATTTGCACTTATTCAGCTTCCTGACAGTTACAACATGGTTTTTTTTTAAGTTAATATATTTTTTAAATGTTGCTTAACTGTTAAATTTTTTTAGGAAACCCAGTCTTTATCATTTATATTAAAATGTTACAATTATTTATTATTAATTTAAATCATATTTTAGTATTTATTTATACTTTTGTCCAGTATTTTAGCTTTTAAAACCTCTTTTTAATTTATTTTATAAAAATTTTAATGTAATAGTTATTTTAATGCTTATAGAAACCATTACATTTTATTACATTATGAAACTTAAGTTATGTTGCGTATTGTTTATTTTCACACTAAAATTGTTAAAAAAATAATCAAAATCAAAAATAATCTATAACATGTGCGTTTAGCATTGTGGTATCTCAACTGTTTATTAATCAAGCGATCGGGTCCTACATTCTGAAAATTATTTTTAAATGTTTTTTAACAATTTTTTTATTGAAAGTTATTATTGTTGTATATTAAAAGTTACATTTATGTTAACTATTATAATTTTTGTAATTAAAGTTGCTTCCACTCGCAACTTTAATTACAAAAATTAGCAGGTCCTATTATTATTCTAAAAAAAAGTTTTTCAAAATTATGTGATGTAGGTACTCAAATAAAGCGAAATTTTATCAAAATTTCAAAAATAATAATTTTTTCATATAAAAATTATAAATATAAATGGAGAAAACTGTATATATATATATATATATATATATATATATATATATATATATATATATATATATATATATATATATATATATATATATATATATATATATATATATATATATATATATATATATATATATAATTTTTACTAATGCTTGTCGGATTTTTTAGTTATCTTTTAAATTTCCTATTTATTCTCAGTGCATATTTGGTCCTACATTCTGAAAATTATTTTTAAATGTTTTTTAACAATTTTTTTATTGAAAGTTATTATTGTTGTATATTAAAAGTTACATTTATGTTAACTATTATAATTTTTGTAATTAAAGTTGCTTCCACTCGCAACTTTAATTACAAAAATTAGCAGGTCCTATTATTATTCTAAAAAAAAGTTTTTCAAAATTATGTGATGTAGGTACTCAAATAAAGCGAAATTTTATCAAAATTTCAAAAATAATAATTTTTTCATATAAAAATTATAAATATAAATGGAGAAAACTGTATATATATATATATATATATATATATATATATAATATATATATATATATATATATATATATATATATATATATATATATATATATATATATATATATATATATATATATATATATATATATATATATATATATATATATATAATTTTTACTAATGCTTGTCGGATTTTTTAGTTATCTTTTAAATTTCCTATTTATTCTCAGTGCATATTTGGTCCTACATTCTGAAAATTATTTTTAAATGTTTTTTAACAATTTTTTTATTAAAAGTTACTATTGTTGTATATTGAAAGTTACATTTATGTTTATTATTTACAAACATCAACTGATATGTGAGTGTACATACATCAACTGATTTAGGGATAGGCGTAGTGAGTGTACATACATCCACTGATTTAGGGTTAGGGGCAGTGAGTGTACATACATCCACTGATTTAGGGATAGGCAAAGTGAGTGTACATACATCAATTAAGGGTTTTGGTTTGGGCATGCATTCTTTAAATAAAATAAAAAAAAATCAACCAATCAGAAATCACTACCGTGACTTGTAATTACTTATAATATTCTTTGATAATTTCAATAAAATATTGTAAAAAATCATTAGAATTAATTTGTTACTTTATTAAAGTAAAAAGTAAACATAATAACATATATAACTAATATATTCATTACAATTTACAAAAACTTTATGTAATATATTTATAATAATTTTTGATCATGTTATCTAATATATTTGTAATAATTTACATTTTTTAAAAGTTTTTAAAAAACTTTATGTAAATTGTTTTAATTTTTGAAGTGTAATTTGTGTAAATTGTTTTATTTAAGTGTATATAAAAGAAAAGAAAAAAAAGGAATATGAGCTTATTTTTTTTATAAACAAAAATTGACAGCAGCGTGCAAATGTTTTGTAACACTAAATTTTGTGCAATGTTAAACTTTTTGTTAACTTTTAAGCAAAAAATTACAAAAAATTGCTTTTATCATTCATTATTTGTTTTATTCACTAAAAAAATTAAAAATTATGGTAGCATTATGCAAAAAGCAAACTTTTAAATTAAAAATCGCCTAAACTTTTGTGAAATTCAATAATTCACATATAATGAGATATTTCATTAGCAAACAGGTTACATTTTGAAAACAAGGCTTATTAGCAATGAGGTTACACCTTAAAAACAAGGCTCATTAGCAATGAGGTTACACCTTA